TCCAGCCCACCAGGAGAAAAGAGAAAATTCCAGTTATTAAATCAGGTACTGAACTTCCAACAGCACAAAGACTTTACCAGGAAACAGTGCCAAGCATGGCCTGCCGACAAATTCATAAACCAGATTAAAAGCACAAATTTGAAGAAACAAGCTACCGAATTGACTCGAGAAGAAAGAAAACCTGAGTGAGCCTGCGGTAAATAAAGATATCGTGTTTGTGATGAAAAGTGTTTGAAAAATTACCACGAATCCTTCAGACACGCTTCCAGCACACGAAAAGAAGTGATTCTGCTCAACACAATTCTCTCTCAGAAGCTGGCTGCAAAAGTTTCCCTTGTGGGATTAAGGCCTTTGGTAACCTGGGCTCTGACCTCCACCCCACCTTTGCACAGGGTTTGAATTCAGCTGTCAGTTCCATCTCCGAGAAGAAGCCACACCCTTCTCTGCGGCCTTTGCTGCACCTCTCTCCTGCCTGTGCAACCTCACCCTGGACAATTCCCACCTGATGACTTCTGTGGAAAATCGCCAGTGGCCTCCACACCTGTACCGCTTCAGCTCTGGGGCTGGAGAGGGGACTGTCTACTTCACGTCTGCCTCTCTCCTGTCCTGGAAGATGGGGACTGTGGTTCCAGCACCTACCCAGGTTCTCTTACTCTCCAAACACATCCGCTTTTGCTGAAGGGGATGGGAGAGGGTCATTCCTGAATTGTCATCGATTCTAGAGCTAAATTTGGTCGTCTCACCTGAATCCCGACAGGAATGCCCCCCTGTGTAAAAACAGCATTTATCGTGAAATGATTCTAAAGAAAAAGGGGGATGTTCCGTTTCAGACATGCTCAGAAAGGAAAGTGAGCAAGCAGTCCCTTCCTGTCCGTGTACTCCAGTTGTAATCTGCCCCTCGGCACCTCTCAGGAATGGAGCCTGCCTCCGCTGTCGCCCTGAGTCCCAGATTGTCACTAAAACTTCTGAGAGGCTTTGAACACAGCCCCTGTCCCTAAGGAACTCGGGCATCCGGAGAGACGAGTGGCAGGGGCACAAAGAAGGAGGCAACACCTGTCACCTCCTGGAGCCTCCAGTCGGATCAAGGAAGCAGCCCAGGTGCTCCAGGTGGCTAAGGGCTTCGGACAGGGGGCCCTGCAAAGAGGGAGAGGTGGCCCTGCAGGAGGAGCTAGGGAAGAGCAGGGGAGGGCACGGACTGCGTGCAGGAAAATAATGAGGGCAGGGGAGAGGCTGGGGGGAGCATAGGAGGGTTGGGTTTTTTTTAACATACAGGGCCAGTATCTGGGTCTCTCTGTCCTCCTGAGTCAGACAGCAGGCCTCCCTTGAAAGCAGCCTGGATGACCATTTTCAAGGTGGCTCGCTTGTAACTGGTAAGTTCTTGCTGGTGGTCAATAGCCCTCAAAAACTCAAATCTGCCATCCAGTGGTATCTCTGCAGGCCTTCAGAAGGTTCTGAAGGACCTGACCTGGCCTGACTGTGAGGCTTCACAGTCTTGTAGTGGTATTTCAACCTGACCTTGGGATTGGCAAACCTAAACCGTGGTTTCACAAGAAGCAAAGCCCTTTGTAGCCTAAGTGTGTTTTAAGAGCCTTTAACTTTGTCTCTTTGCCCTTGCAGAGCTACAGTGTAGCTTGCTTATGAGAATAAACTGGTGAGGGGTGGGGGGGAGCCCACTCTCTTTGTTTGCTAATGCTTCCCTTTGCTTGGTGTTGGGAAATGTGGCTAACAAATGAAGTTTAACGCTCTGTGTTGCGCTCCCTCAAGGCTCCGCTGAGCATGACAAATGAACCGACCGTCACTTCTCGCTCCTCATCGGGAAGATAAAACACCGATATATTAAATTTTGTGTTTTAATCAAGTTTTCCCACATGAGGTCTTTAATTGGTGCTTTTTCGTTGGCCAATATGAGTGTTCATTTTCCAGCCAGATGCTGCCCTTGGTTTGAAGAGGTCATGGAGGCCGGGCAGTGAGTGGCATCCCGGCAGCCTCCGGTGCGGCCTCATCCAGTGGAAGAGCTGGGGTCCCCTGCAGGCCCCCATTGTGTGCTTCCCTCTGGGTCCCTCACCCGTCAGGGAAGCAGGTGATAGCTGCCGAGGTGGAACCTCTCTCCAGCACGAATGTCTTAGGACACAGTGAGGATTGCAAATTATCTTCCTGTCTCAGTAGCATGTGGAAAGATCTGGGATGAGAGACAGCCTGTCCTTTTATCTTCAAAGCCTGAGAGGTCTCGGGTCTAAGAGGAAATAGGTTATTTGGGCTCAAAAGGACAATTAGGTTAGGCTGGTTAAACACAGGGCTAAGCTACCCCCACCCACCAAAATTAAAACCAAACAACTTCTTGCCTCATGAGAAAGTCACACATTTGTCAGTCTGCTCTTAACTCAAGAATGTCACCTAGAAACAAGACATCCTCCGTTGGGAATGCCAACACCAAAGGTACAAAAGGGCCAGGTGAGAGGAAGGGAGATGGGTCCAGCCGGTGCAGTCTGAGCTCCTACCCGCCTCATTCAAAGTTTAGACAAGAAGGTTAGGGAAACAGCTTGGAGTAGGTCCATGAACCAAGAGACACTAAGTAGATCTTCTGAAGTTATCTTACAATGTACACACACACACACACACGACACACACACGACACACACACGACACACACTCACACATGCACACGCGCACGTGCGCCCTGCAAGTCTACCACTGTTTGCACAGGTCGTTTGACTACTAAGCCTACTCTCAGACCCGATGCGTGAGGTTTGCAAAAGTGATTTTAAATGTTATTATTAGGCTACTAAAGGACTGACTTTATTTGTTTGACACAGGATCTCACTATGTTAGTCCATGCTGGTTTCCAACTCTGAATTCTCCTGCCTCAGCCTCTCTCGTGCTGCAATTGCCCAGTGTGCTGGTTTGGCTTTCTCAGCTTGGCACAAACTAGAGACGTCTAGGAGGAGGGAACCTCAGCTGAGGACTGGCCTCCTTCAGAGTGGTCTGTGGGGTATTTTCTAGACTGTTAATTTATAGGGGAAGGCCCAGCCCATTGCGGGCAGTGCTAACCCTGCGGGGGTGGGCCAGTGGCTGAGCAAAGCAGAGGGAATAAGCAGTAAGCGGCTTTCCTCTGTCGTCTTTGCTTCGGTTGCCGCTTCCAGTCCCTGCCTGACTTCGCCTGATGATGGGCTGTAAGTCGTAGGCTTGTGATGGTGGTGCTCATCACAGCAATGGAAACCTTGCTGGGACACTTGACATAAATGATTTTCTATAGCCCAGGCGTCTGGCCTTCAGGAACCCCAGTTTCTCCATCCACGAAACAGGTTAAACAATTTCTTTGCAAATTAATCCTTGTAGGAAGGTTTGGCGATGAGGCCTGGAATAGGAACACACCAGCCCCCCAGTGCCGTGCACTAATTGCCGTGATTTCGGCTCTTCTTTATAGCACTGGCTAATTTTTGTTAACTTATTACAAGTCAAGGCTATCTAGGAAGAAGGAACCTCAACTGAATAGTTGACTCCATCCGACTGGCCTGGACACAAGTGTGTGGGTATTTTCTTCAATGCTAATTGACGGAGGGACCATCCAACCCTTGGAGAGGTGGGCCTGTGTTGTGTAACAAAGCAAGCGAGTGAGCCATGGAGACAGCCAGTGAGCAGCGTTCCGTTCCTACATAGCTCCTTCTCTGCTTCTGCTTGAGTTCCTGTCCTCGCTTGCCTGGGGGGATGGACCCTGATCTGGATGTCCGGAAGCCAAGTGAATCCTCTTCTCCCCACGCTGCTTTTAGTCAGGGTGTTTATCCCAGCCGCGGAAAGCCAATTAGGACATTGGTGATCAGTACGGAAATACTGTGTGCAAAGGAATGAATGCCAAGGCTCCTTTAAAAAGAACTGTTTCTGGGTGAGAGCACATTTTCTTTAAAATATTGCCCGTCCAGCCAGTCTCTTCGGATATTTTAAGGTTGCTGCTTTGCTGGGGTCGGGTAATGAAATCTACATGCACAGCTGTTTTCAAAGTTATTATAAAAGTCCTGAAATTTCATGATTAAAGGGTACCTTTTGATAATTCATTATGTAATAAGACAGAAGCCAGAGTGTGAAATTATTCCCGGAAAATCATTAATAGAAAATGTCATCCACTTCTCTACTCCAAAGAAGGACGCAGGTGAAGAAAATTAGCATTTTTTTAATGATTAGAGGGTGGGGGGGGGACGGCTCAGTCAACGAAGCGCTTGCTGTACAAGCAGGTGAGTCCATGTGTGGCCCAGGTCTCTAATCTCAGACCCTGGACAGACAGATCTCTGTAGTTCACTGGACAGACAGCCCAGCCAAAGTGACCTGAAATAAGTTTCATGACAGACCCTGTATCAAAAAATAAGGTTCTATGCGTATGTATACATCCCTTAATGCTACATACAAATACATACCACATGCATCACCAACAACATAGAAAAGGAAGGAAAGAAGGAAGGGAGGGAGGGAGGGAGGGAGAGAGGGAAGGAGGGAGAAAGAGAGAGAGAGAGACAGAGAGAGAGAGACAGAGAGACAGAGACAGAGACAGAGAGAGACAGAGAGAGAGAAAAAAAAGAAAAAGGGAAAAAAGAATGTAAGTTGCATGTAGTGAGGATATACCTTTAGTTTTTTTTTAAAAGAGTGCATAAAATATTCATTAATTGGTTTTATTGATTTGGTTGCTTTTGTTTGTTTGTTTGTGTTTTGTTTTGAGACAGGTGCCCATGTTGTAGCTAGACTGGCCTTGAACTCTCAATAACCCTAAATTCCCAAGCATTGGGATTATGGATGTGAATTACACCCAGCTCAGTGGGTAAGAGCCCTGTCTGCATTTGCCGGGGACCAAGGTCCCATTCCCAGTACCCATATGGTTGCTGACAATTGCCTGTTATTCCAGCTCAGGGTGTCTGACAATTTCCTGGCCTCTGCAGGTACTGCAAATGTGTGGTGTACACATATACATTCAGCCAAACACTCATACACATAAAAACACAAATACATACTTTTTTTTAAAGAAGTGGTAGAATAGTTTCCATTTTGCAGAAATGGATTTAGATGATGAACTTGAGAGTCGCTCTTCACAGCATAGGATTGGTGGAATCCAGCACTGTGGAGGAATATGCACCCTCTCTTCCAAGGGCCATCAAGGGAGGGATGTTGCAAGGAGGCTGCTTGTCAGTTCCTGGCTGCTCAGCAGCTGACCCCCAAAATAATCACACAGAAACTGTATTAATTAAATCACTGCTTAGCCCATTAGCTCTAGCTTTTTATTGGCTAACACTTGTATCTTAATTTAACCCATTTCTATTCATCTGTGTATTGCCACAAGGCTGTTCCTAGTGTCTGTCTCTGGCAGGGCTACATGGCTTCTCCCTGACTCCACCTTCCTTCTCCCAGCATTCAGTTTAGTCCCCCCTCCCCCGCCTAACTCTGTTCTACCCTATCAGACCAAGCCAGCTTTCTTTATTCATTAATGGAGTTCACAGCATACAGAGGGGAATCACACATCAGAGGGAGGTCAGCTGTGTCACAACAGGGTCCAAGAATGGAGTCGTGGAAGAAGATTCCCGAGTGCTCGTGAGAAAACTCAGACAAGAGTCTTATGACCTCAGTTTCTTCAAAAGCACAGGATTGTTCCTGGAATGTTTTTGTGCCCTTCCCAGGTTTAGCCGATAGGTGTGAGTTCACTTTAGGTCATTCATTACAACCAGCGAGGGTTATTTGATTATATGCCACTATGGGAAAGCATGGGCAGCTTGTCCTTGTGACTGAACATCTTACTCACGTGATTTCTCTTAATCAATGCTCTGAATAAAGTTGGCTACTGCATGAGACTTCAGTCTGCCTCACCTTTAGGGTCCATTCTTCCAGGTTCCACTTTCTCTACGACAGAAAGATCTTGGGGTCTTTCTAGAAACTGCTTTTCATCATGTACTCATTTATCCAACAGGGGCTACAGAACAGGAGAGACATTGTGCATGGAATCTGACCACAGGGTTCTGGTAGCTGGTTGATAAGAAGGCCCCAAGTTTTGCCAGCCAGAATGGTCGGAAGCACAATGGTGGCTTCTTGGTGAAAATTAAAGAGCCAATTGTATATTTTTAGAGACCATATACATTTCCCTCAGTTTGGACTAGAAGAGGGCCTGAAATAGAGGCAAGACTTTACCCAGAAAATAATGTCTTGGGTATGTTCAAAGGCAGAAGAATTTCCTGGGCCCAGGGAAATGTTGGGGGTCTAGGGTGGGTTTGTTTGTTTGTGAGATGGGGTCTCACTATGTTGCTCAGATTGACCCTGAACTCACAGTCTCAAGTCCTCCCATAGCGTCCCAAGTAGCTGGGACTACAGGCTCCAATCACCAAATCCCATTTTAAAACACTGGGTTCTCAGCACTCAAGGGGCAGATGCAGGAGGATCTCTGTGAGTTCAAGGCCAGCCTGGTCTGCATAGCAAGTTTCAGGGCAGCTTGGGACTATAAAGTGAAACCCTGTCCCCAAACAACAACAAACCACTAGGTTTTGAGGAGTCTAACAAGGTGAAGTAGTGACAATACACTCTGGGACATTAACCTGCTCACTGGAATCTGTCACCACACACATAGGCACTAAAGAGAATTGTCAAAGTCAGTAGTATTTGGCAAAGTGGTCACTAAGTATGAACTTGGAGCTTTGCTTTCTGGCTGTAACCAGATACTTGATTGCTCCCTAAGTCTATTGTGGGCGTGAGCAAAGAAAGAATGGGCTATCCAAAGCTGCGCGTTCTGAGGCAGAGCAAAGGCTCAGAACGACTATGTGACTATGGTGTCACATCCCCTATAATGCTAATTAAGTTAGAAGAAGGACAAAAGGTGCCACTAAAGCAGCTGGTGTTGGGCCACTCGGAGCTGAACTTGTTCTCTTGGGAGCCCAGCTTTCCCTTATTGTGCCTTAAAGCTTTTACTGCATTTCCTTCCTTCCTCCTTCCTCCTCCCTCCTTCCTCCTCCCTCCTTCCTCCCTCCTTCCTCCTCCCTCCTTCCTCCTCCTTCCTTCCTCCTTCCTCCTTCCTTCTTCCTCCTTCCTTCTTCCTCCTTCCTTCCTTCCTCCCTCCATCCTTCCTTCTTCCTTCCTTTCTCCTTCCTTCCTTCTTCCTTCCTTCTTTTCTCCTTCCTTCCTCCTTCCTTCCTTCCTTTTTTCTTTCTTTTTTTTTTTTTTTCTGAGACGAGACAGGGTTTCTCATGTAGTGCTAACTGTCCTGAGACTCTCTGTAGACAAGGCTCCTGTCTCTGCCTCCCTAAGTGTTGAGATTAAAGGTGTGCACCACCGCTGCCCAGCAGGTTTTGGTATTACAAAGGTTCCATAAGTTCCACTGAGTGTAGCAGTGGCGTATCCTAGGATAATTCTGCCTCCAATGACTTACTTTTCACATGATTAATCAAACTGTGAGTTTTAGGCCTGTGCTTAATGGAGAGAGGCGACAGTGCTGATGAGAGCACAAACTGGAAATAGGATGAGGCTTTAAGCTCCCGTATCCTGCCCCGTGACACATTTCCTCCAGCTAGGCCACACCTCCTCAATCTTCCCAAACAACACCACAAACTAGGGTCCAAGAATTCAAATACCAGGTCCTATGGGTCCATTGGGCAATGAAATCGCCACACAAGCATTCTGGCATTGCAGACTAGCAGGCAATGAGCGAGTTACTCGGCTCATGGCCTTGCAGAAACCCTCATGTCCCTGGGAAGGTTTGAGTCTGAGAAGGACGAGTGGCTGCAGGTGCTTGAGCTACGAGGAAGCACAAGGATGGGGCAGGAGAAATACACCAGTCCCACCAGCCGGCGGCCCAACCCGTGTCTCATCGGCCAGAAGCCCAACTCCTCGTGTCTTGGAGAAAACATTTCTTAAAAGACTAACATGTCTACACGCAGAAGCAGGGAGAATCTAACCCAAGGCTAGGACAGGCACAATGTGACAAGACTTTTACCCCATGTTGATTACTCATCAGGCATCTGGGAGCTGAAATGAGTTACTGTTTTCAGCAGAAGTGCCCGCGAGAGTTTGCCAACTGGCCTGAGCAACTGCTTTCGTTGTCCGCGGGTGCGGCCTCCAGCAAGCTGGTATGGGGGACAATGACCTTCAAGGCAGTGATTTTTAAGTTAATGGAAACCAAGCCAAGCTAGGAGACTTCTTTGGGCTTATCTTTGGTGGCAATTCTCCCTTGTCGTTTGTGTTGCCATCTTGAACCCCATCGATTTTCACTTGGCCCTAGTTGCAGGCACTTGGTAAATATTCCAGCCTCGTGGTCTAAGCAGGCGTCTTATGATAAAGCTGTTCAAAGGGCCCAGAGTGTATCTGTTTTTCGTCCCTTTGTGTTAATTCCTACCTGTCTCTTCGCTAAGATTCCAGTTTTAGGCTTGGTGTGGCAGCACACGCCTTAATTCCCAGCACTTGGGATGCAGAGGCAGGTGGAGCTCTGTGAGTTCAAAACCAGCTTGGTCTATGTCAGTCGTGTTCAACTTGTAGGTCATGACTTCCACAGGGGTCACATATCAGATATGCTGCATATCAGATACTTACATTATAATTCCTAACTGTAGCAAATTTATGGTTATGGACTAGCAATGAAATCATTTTATGGTTGGGCTCAGCACAACGTGAGGAACTGTATTCAAGAGCTGCAGCGTCAGGAAGGCTGTGAACCAGCGACAGGAAATAGTGAGTTTCCTGTCGGTCAGGATGGCATGGTGAGACCCTGCCTCAAATACAATAATAATCCCAATGTTATGGATAAGCACAAGTCAGCAGACTGGCTTGCTAATTTGCCCAGGGTCACATGGGGAGGAAGGAGGAAGGCTGAGGGTGAACTGGGAAGCAACCAGGTTCTACCTTTCGCCCCCTGTGCCCCTCAGTGTAAGGACCACATAGGAAGACATGAAGGTCAGAAAGGGTCACGATCCCTATCTTCTGGGGCTACCCAAAGGTTAAATTAGATTCGGGGGTAACCATGGATGATGGAGGATGAGTGATGAGAAGTGAGAAGGAATGATGAGGTGGAAGCTGGGGTACCCAGTGGGGACCAGGTCTAAGGGTAGCTGAAGACCAAGGATAACTGGGCAGCCAGCATCGATCACCCAACAGGATGTCAAAGGCAGATGTTACCATTTGATGCTGGACCGTCCCTTCCAGACTTATGTTTTGAGTACTTGGTCCCCAGCAGGCAGAGCTGTTTTAGGGTCTGAAGGCCACACCTTTGGAGACACAACTTTGGAGGCCACACCCACTTCTGGAGAGGGCCTAGCTCCTCTCTACTTCCTGGTCTGTCTGTCACACGCGGAGCCATGCCACAAGCTCCCACCAGGCCACTCCACATCTTCCCTGTCATGATGGACTGCACCCTCTGAGACCACGAGCCATTAAGTTACTTCTGTCACATCAGTGGTTAAAAAATAAATAGTAAGAGCTAAATATAATAAATGAGACAAGTGGAGGTCATGGAAAATCCCAAAGCTGAAGGGTTTGACAAAGGTGTGAACCGGTACAGGGCCCAGAGAGCCCTGGGTAACAAGCAAGGAGACATCCCAAGTGGAAAGGTACGGGGCGGGGGGGGGGGGGGGTTCAACACGGACTCCTGCTGCAGGGACAATGCAGCCACCTGAGACTATGGGGTGAGGCCGGCCATGATGGGGAGGCCTGGGTTTGGGAAGGGGTGGTCAGGTGAAATGACTTCAGAGGTCTAAGCCCCCTAGAAAGCTGAACCAGGGTGGACTCATGGGAGCATGGTGAGAGGAAATGTTTGAGGGGGCCTCTGAGTTCCTGCCGGCCTGGGAAGTTGGGATCCAACACTCTGCCTAAAAGTCCCAGAGGAAAACCTCCTTCTGCAGTCTGCGCCTGGCCTGCGCTGGCCTTGCGAGCTGGCCTGCTCTACAGCATGTGCACAGACTGGCCTTAGGGTCACTGGGGTCACACACCTAACGCCACATCACGCCACAGCTTGCCAATCTGAGGCACGGAACGTCAATATAACTAGAGGGTGAGAACAAAGAAATCGCCACCAAAGTTCAGGAATTTCATATCCCTGCTGTTTTCCAAATAAAGAACTTCTTCCTCTGCCACTGCGGAGCAATCTGACCAGGGAAGCTTTCTGTGTTCCTAACCAGGCGCTTAGATTTATATCCCGTTGTCACAGGGACCTCTCACGGAGCTTCAGCGAGTGCTTAATCAGATGGTTGTCCTGTTGACACCAGTGGGTCTTAAAGTGGGGTTATTTACGGATGTGGTTTCTTGTGTAGGGTCACTGTGGGGCCTAATCTGCATACGGTTCTCAGTAGAGCTGGGCAGTTATTTGCATAAGAACTAGTCGGGTCCTTTAGAGGATTATAAAGATAACAGGGCAGACTCACCACAGGGAGGGCTCAGTCACCCAAAGCTCTGGTGAATCTGTCTTAAGCACTCTGGATACTGGGGAACCCCATCTTCACCACACCTCAAGTCAAAAGTGAGCCAGTTGCTGCTGGCTCCATGTCTGAGGGCCTCTCAGTTATTAGTCTAGCATGGATACCCAAGAGCCCCTCAACTCCTCCCTCTGAGCTCTGCCCCAGGGAGAAGGGATGTGGTGTTTGTAAGTCAGAGGACAACTGAGATCTACTTGCACTAGCTTTGGATAAAACCATATCCTGAGCATTTTGTGGGGCAGGCAGTATGAAAGAGTGAGCTCCCTGTGCCCACAAAAACTCGTAGTCCAAAGAGAAAGAGAAATGCCATCAAAACCAGAGCAGCAGGTGCTGGAGAGATGGCTCAGTGGTTCAGAGCACTAGCTGCTCTTGCAGAGGACCCAGCACCCACGTGGGGACTCACCACCATGTGTAACCCCTTTCCAAGGGATCACAACCCTCTGCTGGCTGCCATGAGCAAGGCATAAACATAGTACACGTACACTTGCTTACACACTGGCAAAACACTCATCCATATAAATTAAGAATACAATTCTTCTTTTCAAACAGAGCAGCAGATTCTTTTGTATTCTTGACTTATGAAAAGACCACTTTATCTCCAGTAATTTTCTTTACTCTGGTCTCTATCACTTAATAGCAGACTCTCGTCTCTCTTTAAACGTTTAGATAGTATATCTATAAATGGAGAACATCCCTTAGCCCGGTGGTTCTAAACCTGTGGGTGGCGATCGTCTTGGTGTCAAACAATCCTTTCAGAGGGGTCGCATATCCCATATCCTGCATATCAGACGTTTACATTACAATTCATAATATCAAAGTTACAGCCATGAAATGGCAAGGAAAGTAATGTTATGGTTTGGGGTCACCACAACATGAAGAACTGTATTAAATGGTCACAGTGTTAGGAAGGTTGAGAACCACTGCCTTAATTGTTCTGAAGAGACAGGTTTGCTGGTTAGACATTCACCTTTTTTATGTATCTGAGAATGTCTTTATTTCCCTCCCCCGTTCCATTGCAGAAAGGTATTTCTGCTGGCTATGGAATTTGTGGTAAGCCATTCATTTCTGTCAGATTTTTTTTTTTGCATTTTTATGTGTGTATGTAGGTATGTGCACATGCAGTACTGAGGAAGGCCAGAAGGGGGCATCAGATGCCGCCCTGGAACTAGAGTTACAGGCATTTGGAAACCATATGATGTGAGTGCTGGGAACTGGACTTGGGTTCTCTGTAAAAGACGTGAATGCTGTTAACTGCTGAACCATCTCTCCAGCCTGGTTGTTCTTTTCTTCCAGTACTTGAAAAGGCTTACAAGCTCTGCCTGGTGTGGTTTCAGATGGAAAGCAAAAAAAAAAAAAAAAAAAAAAAAAAAAAAAAAAAAAAAAAAAAAACAAAAACTTTTTGTTTTATTTTGGTTTGTAGTCTATGACTTTAAAAAGCTCAGTGCTGCTGTATTTTGGTATGGATCGCACATCATCTGGGTTTAATTCTTCTGCATTTCTCTAAGCCGCTTCATATTTCTTTCTCGACTCCATGAATACCTTCCAAGGAAAAGTAGGATCATCCATCTACACTGCCTCACTGCCAACAAGGGTGGGTGTGAACTCGGCTCCCCCAACGCCCCCCCCCATCCCAATGACATCCAGGAGTGGGGCGGGGGATGCTCATACCGCTTCCTGCTGCAGGGTTGGGACGGGTGCTCAACTCCTTCCTTGGCCTCTAACACCAGAGAAATGGAAGGGCAATGAGTCGACTCCCGCATCCTTCTGCCTCTCTGACACCAGCTAAATATACGACTCCTCACTGTGACTTGAGCCCGAAATGCCCCCCACAGGCTTGTGTGTCCGGACACCTGGTCCCAGCTAATGATACAGTCAGGTAGGCGGTGAAACCTTTAGGAGGTGTGTGTGTGTGGGGGGGGTCACAGGGCTGGGAGGTCACAGGGGCTGGACTTTGAGGGATCTCCTCTTCTCTCCTGGTCTTCATATCTGTGAATGAACTGGGCTGCAAGCTAGCGCCGCTGCCACAGACCTAGCAGCAGCCGCTGGCACGCCTCCCCGACAGTGGTGGGCTGGCTATACCTTCCAGAACTGTGAACAGAACCTACCCTCTCCTTCCTTAAGCTGCTTCTGCAGTATCTGGTCACAGCAACAAGAAAACTACCATACCTCTGTATTCCATGAACATCCCCTGGCAGGGTCGTCAGAGCATTCCCGGCTTCTACAGAGCGGAGGGTGGAACAGTTGACCTCTGGGCCAATCACTTCGCTCACCACGCCAGAGGGGAGAGAGGACGCCTCGGCTGCGCTTGTGCCCTCCTCATCTCCGTGGAGACGCAAGGGATGCGGTTGTTCTTCAGCTGAGCAGGCTTCTCAGCCATCCTAACACTGTGGTCCTTCAATACAGTTCCGCGTGTTGTGGTGACCCCGACTATGAAATTATTTTCGTTGCTACTTCATAACTGTAATTTTGTTACTGTCATGAATCGTAGTGCATTGTGGGATATTTGATCTCACTGTCAACCTGAGATTGTGTTAACTGAAGAAAAACCTGAGATCAGGGGGTAGTGCCAGCAGCTAGCTGACAGGAAGTAGCCATGGAGGGCAAAGAAGGAGTCAGGAAAACAGAGAAGCACACAGAAAATAGAAGGGAGGGACGGGGAATTTGGGAGTTCTTTTGGATTGGAACAGCGGCAAAGGCTGTTCTCTCTCTCTCTGAGATGCTGGCTAAGGAGGAAGGTCAACTAGCAGCTCCTCAACCTCTCCGACCTCAGGTTTTTATTTAATTAGCCCAATTTCAGGGTTCACAGTGTGAGCTAACAGCCTGCAACTGTCATATAAATATCTGCGCTTTCCGACCACGTTAGACGACCCCTGACCCCTACAAAAGGGTCGTTCATCCCCCATAGAGGTCAGGACCCACAGGTTGAGAACCACTGATTGGAGGCTGTCAAGAGGGGCCGGGAAGAGTTTCTGTGGTGCTCGGGCACACTTGTCGGAGGTTCTGCTGGAGTCCTGTGGAGAATAAGAAATGCCCAGGAGTCGCCACCATGGTCACCTAGATGTGAGGACTCTAGGAAAGACATTGAGCTCAGTCCTCACTTCAGAGCCGGCTAATGTTTCTCTCTCGTGCCACCTTGACTTGTCTAAGAATCGTAACCCAAAGTCTGACTCCACTTGGCATGTCTGGGGAAGGCCAGAGGTGCTTCAGGAGACCTTTTGGGGTTACAGGAACATCGCTGAGTTTCCTTATGATTGAATGGGATGGAGAAGGAACTGAGAGAAAGATCCAATGAGCTGGCCCAAAAGACGTGGAGGGAAGAGATTCTGTTTTTTGTTTTTTTTTTTAAATTGCTCTCAGCAGAGGGTCTTTTCCACAAATGCTGATCTGGGAACTTGTTTGAGGACCCTATTTCAAACCATAATGTATGAACTTTGCAGGACATGACTCGCTTTGAAAAGCCCAAGAATATGCGGAATTATATGCCTATAGCCTAGCCCCTCCTCGGGGTCAGAGAGCCAAAATCACTCTTTTCTTTTTTAATCCCCGTGATGTTTTTAATAAAGTTGCTTCCGATTAATAGACTTCGGTGGTCTGCTCCCCGTTATTTGTGCAACCCCAGGACCCAACAGCTTTGTTCATGCTGGGCAGACACATTAGTTATTATTGTTCATTCCTCAGAGAGCTACTTAAGGTACTTCAAAGAAAACCACCTTCGGTGTCAAAGGTAAGGCGAGCCCTCTGGACCCTTGCTTGCCTCTACCATTTCTTCACTATGGGCTTTCAAGTCATTGTCCTCAAAGGCTCTTCACAGAACATAACACACACGGGGCACCACGGCAACACTCAAGCATGCCAGAGCAGCGAGCATGGGTAATTCTAATGGGCTTTCTGGGAAATATGGGCGGGCAGGGGTGGGGGGAGACCAAATCAATAAGGCGAGCTTTGATGTACTTCAAGAAACAAATGACTTTTGTCCCCAGTTTTTGACATCTCTTTCAACATGAAATTTCTAAGCATCTATTTCCGAGGCTGAACAGGGAGTCTCCGAGCAGTCATGGCGCTTCTGGGGTGTCACGTGGCAGCTACGGCTTCTGGGGTGTCACGTGGTCAGCTGCAGCTTGTCTCCATTTTTGTCTTTTAAACAAGTTCAAAGCCAAGCATTTTAATGTGGGGGCGAATCTGCAGGGCCACTTTTACAAATGGTGTCATGAGCCGTACTCAAAGATGGGACTCCCACTTTGAGGGTGACAAAGGGTTGCTTGACCCCTCAGTTGGAGTTATCTGTTGGGCACTCCCTCTTCTGGGCACCCACTTTGAGGTAAAAAAAAAAACCAAAAACCAACAACTCATGATCCATTGACTGATCAGCTTCGGTGCTGTTTCTGGTCTCTGTTAGAAGCTTGCATAGCTTCAGTGGGTTGTGAATTTCATGAGGCGTGGGTGCGTGTGTGTGTGTGTGTGTGTGTGTGTGTGTGTGTGTGCTGTGAATTTTTGCATGTGGTAGTGGGGAGGTCAACGTAGAGACTTTTTTTTTCTTGATGAAATAGAAGAGATAGCATATGGTGAGGTAACCTGAGAAGGCCAGGTGCGCCTGCATCAGAAGCTAATGTGCCGTTGCCATGGAGACCAGCGCGCCTTCCACAGTACAGGGCCTCTACCTCCCTGCTCTGAGGAGCTTGCCTGGCTAATAAGAGCCTGTGCTTTGACGAGCAAGAGAATTAAGCCTTGAGGGCAAGCCTTCAGCAATTTCTGATCTCTTTTTCCTTGCATTTTCCGGGAGAGTTTGTGCCCTCTGGACTTGCAGCTCCGCTGGCAATGCCTTAGCCGAGTAATCATATTTACATCTACGGAGACAGGACTTTGTGTTACACACAGCGGCACAGAGGTGTTTTAGCTGTTTATGAGGAAACCAAAAGCTTTCAAAAAAAAAAAGTGAGACTTGTCTCCAAGTCGTAACTCTCTGTCCAGGCTAGGATCTGAATCCAGAACCATCAGCTGTCAGCTATTAATTTTTTCGCTCAAGTCAGATGAGTTGTTATCTAAACCAAACCATTGTGATTTTGTCTAAACCCATGTCTTCGTCATAGAAGGGAACACAGTAAGAGCCTAAATCCAAAGGAAAGTGGATGTGAAGCAGCTGCTCTTAGACAGCCACGCTGCCATAGCCTGTTAACAGGACGGGTGTGATCCTGAGAGTGCACGGCTGAGATTTACCGAGCATCTTCGTGTCATTCACTCTTTCAACAAATATGTATTGAGACCGACTTAAGCCGAGCATTGTCCTCAGTGTGTGGGTACAGCTGTGGCTAAACAGCTGGACAAAGGCGGCTGCCCGTGGGGACTCCTCTCTGGGCTGGCGCTGTGTCCCCGGGAGCTGGTAAGCAGGAAACGGTTCGTACTCCAGAGTTGCAGACAATTTAGGCGTCGAGACGAAGCATAAATTACCCAACTGTAGAGCACAGTGTTTAACTGCTGGTTTGGGGAGGCAGACGGTCCAAGTGCTGTGGCTGATGACTTACAGGGTGGCTGTGGGTGACCTGGCTGCCTCTCACCGTGGCCCGTTCCAGTTCTGTTGACCTCCCAGGGCTTCTCTGGTGACACATGGGAGGGCCACCTTCGTTCTAAGACCGGGTTCCCAACCTAGCACATTCAGTGATTTCCCTCCCTCATTTCATTCCCTTACTCTTTGCTTTACTCATTCCAACTCATCTTTTCCCTGACCCTACAGAGCCATTTGCAAGAAAAACACCATCCTCGAAGGCTGGGGCAGAGGGCAGCTCAATCATTGCCGTGCAAGCACAAGGACTTACACCAACAGAGGAAGCAGAGACAGGAGGGTCCCTGGGGCTTACTGACCCCAGTCTAGCCCAATCGCTCCAGGCTAACGACAGGCCATGTCTCAAAAAATAAGGTGGACAGCATGCCCAAGGTTCTCCTCTGATCTCCACATGCATGCATACGTGCATGCATGCACACACACATATATGCACATACACATGCACACACTCACACACATGCATGCATACCCATATGCACAGACACGTTGGTGCACACACACATGTACATACATAAATACATGCACATATGTGTGCACACACAGATCTTGACAGAAAAAAAAACGAAGGGGTGAGAGAGATGACTGAGCAGACTCACATCATCTGCAATTCCAGTTCCAGATCATACAATCCCTTCTTCTAGCCTCCTTGCGCATTAGGCACACACGTGGTGCACATACATACATGCAGGCAAAACACTTATATACCCCATGTACATAAAATAAAAATAAATATCCCTTTTCTAAAAGTCAAGAAAAATCACAATAGCTTTGAAATCAAAGCTACAAAAATCACACTCCCCAAATCTCTGGCCATGCCGCCAGCCTCAGGCTGAGCTTTATGGTGGTCTTTGCAGTATGACACCAAATTGTTCAACACAAGTGAAGTAGGACTAGGCAGCTGTCCCTCTGTTTGGTTCATCTGTGAGCAGACGGGCGTGATATCTAAGTCATACAACAGAGTCCAATGTTAGTAATGAATAAAACTTAGAACGACATGAACCTAATCCATATTAATGATGCACACAGTCATGATGGTGCCCTGTGGTAATCAGATAGGACTGGTAACAGACTCAACAGAAGCTGAAGTCCTTCCGTCAAAGGCCCCAGGGCACAACCTGGGTAAAGGGAGGAATGAGAAAGAAGGGATCAAGGTCTAGGGACACAGACGTGATCATCTTTACAGGTGGTGTTTGCTCTTTCTGAAGCCAAGCATCTCCAAGGGCCACCATATACCCTGCTGTCCAAGGGCTTCCTGTCCCTGGAGACAGTGGAACTGAAAACCAAGGAACCTGAGCAGGGGAGCAGTGTGGGGACAGCTGCTGAGGAACTACTTTCCGGGAAGCTGGATCTGATGTTCTGAAGGCGTTCACACGCAGAGCAAGTGCCCCCCCTTCCCCCTCATCTAAGAGGGGAAAGATCTTAGATTAGGGGAAGAGGGGGGTCCACCTTAGACAGGAACTCTTATCAAGCAAGTCATCAAATCATCCGAGGAGAGGAGGATGTCAGTCAAAATGTCAGACAGTTATGTGCACCAGCTGCTCTTCCAAAGGACCTGGATTCAGTTCCCAGCAACCACATGGTGGCTCACATCCATCTCTAACTCCAGTTCCAGGGGATCAAACTCCCTCTTCTGGCCTTTGTGGGTACTGCATACACATGTGTGAAGGCCCAAAAATGTGAGCCTATTCCACCTTGTCTGAAGGTCAGAGAGTTTGACCAGTTCCTGGTGCTGTGCTGATGCTACGTACTACATTTACGTGAGTTTCTTATCGCACAAATGTGACTGGGAGTGGGGCTGTGGATATAAAACCAGGCTAGGCTTCATTCCCAAAGGGATCCTGCAGCTTCTGTTTTCTGTCTCTGTCTCCCAGAGAGATGTAGCAACAACCCATGTTCTTTGGTGACACTGCCCCAAGTTGATATGATGAGGGACTCATTTGCTCCTGTGACCTCACATGCCCTCGTAGAAACACA